TAAGGCCACTTAATTTATTCATTAGTAAACTCTTCGGATGGGCGTACATTGTTCAAAATACACATTGCGTCAACATTTAAGGGAAGTTTGCAGCTTTAGTTTGAGACATTTTTCTTTCTTGATATCCTTCTTAAAGAACTATAACTGGATTGAGAGTTTGCAAGTAATTTGGTAAATGAATCCTCTCGTTTCAGGAAAATATAAAATCGAACAATTACTTAGCTTCAAATGGTTTTCACTTCACGCCTTACACAGCAGCTAGGAAACTCAAATATTTCACAGATTTCATTATCGACAAGGTTAAATCCTAGCAAAGGCCCCGAACGGATTGGCACTGGAGACTTGTCGGGTATGATTATTTTTATAAAGCTGGTGAAAACCCCGTCCGCTCTATTCTGTACAGAATACTCAATAAATAGTTAAATCCTAAGTTACCTGATATATACCATGTGACACAAAAATGCAGTACACAGGTATATATGTATAAATTAACTATCAGAAATTACTTTAATTAATATTAAAAACACTGGTGATATTTAGAGGGTCAGTAACTACTTTCCAGACATCTTTCTACTGCTTAAAAGAACAAAAGGTCTAAACAAAATATTCGAGCTAAATGAAGAAAACTGCATTCATTCCGATATAAGCTTTAATTTAAAATTGTTTTCAATTTTCTCGATATGCGTTCAGAACTTCATTTTTTATTTCATCTTTTGTATAATGTACAAAATGATTCCTAACTTATCTTAAAAAATTGGTTGAGTGTACAGTTGGCACATCAAAGAAAAGTAAAAATTAATCATGTGACTATTTCAATTTTTGAAAAATTATTTGTTACGTTTATATTTTTGTATTGCATGTACTTTGTATATTTACTGTACTGTACTGTACTCTCTTGGGATTTCGGTCTATTATTCTATAGATTAGAATTTTGCTAATAAAGTTCTTCTCTCTCTCGTATTAAAAAGATGGACCGTATCAATGTCCACTATATCAAAATATATTTTAACTAAATCTGTAAATCCTTACTAGACCAGGCGGTATCTGTTTTGGTTTGGGTGAATCGTATATCCACGGAGATTTTTGGCTTTTTGGCTTTCAAATATCACTAGAAATGTAAATTTTTCTATGCGCATAAAAAAAACATGGGCTTAACATTTGGCGGCACAATATATTAAAAAATTAGAAAAATGTCATATTTTTCTTCCTATTTAATTATGTATCTTTTCAAGAGTTGATTTTAGGCAAAAATCGAAGAGGAAAAAAATGTTTGCAATTAAATTTTTTACAAAACATGTTTAGTTACAAATCGAATGAATCATGATTATTATGGTAAAAATCGAAAAAATCGCAAAAATGCGGTTAAAAAACAATACTTTTTAGGGAATTTTTTTGGGGTACTTAAATTGGGTATAGGACCTTTATACTTGGCTCAAAAAAACTTCATGTTACGTAGAATTATCACACCAAGTTTCATCAAAATCGGTTCGATAGATTTTGCATAATAATTTTGCAATTCAGATTAAAAAAAATTGCAAATTTTCAAAATTTTGCATAGTAAAAACCAAGGCCCTTAGATACTTGAAAATTTAATCACATATAGAAGGGCTCTCAAGCTTTCAAACTTTTTTT